TAAAAACAATGGTAAATGACGACTCTGTGTCGACTACTCCGACCTCAACCGAGCTTGCCCCAAGGACAGCTACCCTCTCCCTCGCATAAATCTGCTGGTCGACACCACGACCGGTCATCAGATGCTCAGTTTCATGGATGCCTTCTCTGGATACAACCAAATCTTGATACACCCATCTGACCAGGAGCACAACTCCTTCATCACTGACCGAGCCACCTACCATTACCGTGTGATGCCATTTAGGTTGAAGAATGCCGGGGTCAGGCCACTTACCAACGGTTGGTCAATGCCGTCTTCCATCATCAGATAGGCCGGAACTTGGAAGTATATGTCGATGACATGCTGGTCAAGAGCAAGCTCTCCATCGATCATTTGGTCGACCTGCGAGAAACCTTCGCCACCCTACAAAAGTACTAGATGAAGCTCAATCTAAAAAAATGTGCCTTCGGCGTAGGATCTGAGAAGTTTTTGGGATTCATGTTCAGTCAGCGGGCATCGAGGCTAACCCTGAAAAAATCAAGGCCTTAATCGAAATGCAGTCACACAGAACGGTCAAGGAGGTTCAGAGACTTACTGGCCTAGTGGCCGCCCTCAACCGCTTCATTTCCCGAGCAACGGATAAGTGTCTCCCCTTCTTCAAAGTCTTTTGGCAAACTTTTGAATGGACGGCAGAATCTGAAGAGGCCTTTCAACAATTGAAACAGTGCATGGCTAATCTCCCCTTACTTTCTCAAGCCATCACGGGCGAACCCGTCTTCCTCTATCTAGCCGTGTCACACACTGCAGTCAGTGCAGCACTTGTCAGGAAAGACAGCTCCGTCCAGCGACCGGTCTACTACATCAGTCGGGCTCTTCGGGGGGCGGAACAGAACTACCCATTGTTAGAAAAAAATGTCCTTGGCCTTGGTCACCGCCTCCAAACGGCTCCGCCCTTACTTCCAAGCCCATTCTATAGTGGTCTTCACTAACCAACCGTTGAAGAAGATAATGCAACAACCAGAGCTTTCCGGCAAGCCTATGTAGTGGTCGGTCGAACTCGGTCAGTTTGATATCTCCTATCGGCCTCGGATAGTAATTAAAGGACAGGCTGTTGTCGACTTCATCCTGGAATTCACTAACCTCATCCCAGCCACAACTCATCCACCCCCACCAACCCCTACCGAGCCAGAAGACCCCCATTCTTGGACCCTTAACGTCGACGGATCATCCCGCAAAGAAGGCAGTGGAGCTAGTCTCATCCTCACCGCCCCTGACGGTGGTTATTTTAAATGTGCTCTCCACTTTCTATTCGATGCAAGCAATAATGAGGCCGAATATGAGGCACTGATAGCAGGTCTCCGCTTAGCCAGAGACATCGGTGTTAGCCACATTCGGGTGTTCAGCGATTCCCAGCTTATCGTCGGGCAAATTACGGGAGAATTCGACACTAAGAAGGACACCATGCGGGCATATAGGGATATTGCTCTCCCCCCTTGCTCACCTCTTCAATACCTTCCATATCAAGCACATCCCTTGGGCTAAAAACTCTAAGGCAGATACGATGGCCCAATTGGCTTCTGCAGACCAGTCAGACCTCAACCACGGTGTCTGCCTCAAATACCTATCCCACCCGGCCATCTCCCCCAACCTGCAGGAAGTCCACTTCCTCCAAGATGAACCTATCCCATGCGCGGCAGACATATTTCTGTATCTGACAACGGGGGAACTTCCAGACGACAAACAGTAGGTCGCCAAAGTTAGGGCCCAGTCGTCCAACTACATTCTTGTCGGCGACCTCTTATACAAACGTGGTTTTTCACGCCCATACATCAGATGCCTCAATCCTGCTCATGCAACCTACGTGATGAGGGAAATCCATGAGGGTATCTGTGGTAATCATTCGGGTGCCCGGTCTCTAGCCCACAAAATACTTCGCACTGGTTATTTCTGGCCTACTCTTAATCAGGATGCGACAGACTTCGTGCTCAAATGTGATAAGTGCCAGCATTTTGCCAACATCCCCCATGCTCCTCCTACAGAATTGATCACGCTTTGCAGCCCCTACCTATTCGCAAAATGGGGGATCGACCTGGTTGGCCCATTGCCCACTAGCCAAGGCCAAACCAAATTCGTAATTGTCGCCATCGACTAATTCACAAAATGGGTGGAAGCAGAACCCCTTGCTACCATTACTGAGCGGAACACAACCCGATTCATCTGGTAGTCAATCGTATGCAGGTTCGGCATCCCTCAAGCCATCCTCTCCGACAACGGCAAACAATTCGACAATGCCAAGTTCAGGAATTCTGTGTAGAACTCCAAATCTAGCCATGTTTCTCTTCCCCAGGTCATCCCCAAGCTAATGGCCAAGTTGAGATCACCAACCGTTCTCTCCTGAAGATCATCAAAACCAAGCTAGAAGCTGCTAAGGGACTTTGGGCTGAGGAATTACCCAACATACTCTGGGCTTACCGCACCACCGCTCGAACTCCCACTGGGGAGACCCCCTTTCACTGAACATACGGCGTTGAGGCGGTCATCCCAGTAGAAGTCGGTCTGCCAAACCCAAGGGTTGGGTTTGGCACCCGAATCCAGAACTAACCGAAGAGCTGCGTCGGGCAGACCTAGATTTGATCGAAGAACTCCGAGAATGGGCTATACTTTGTATGACAGCAAGCTTGTATCTCAGTTATCTGTGGTATTCCAATAACGCTTTGATTGCAGCCTCAGCCAGACTGAGCAACAAAAAGCCTCAGCTAGGTTGAACACAAAAAGCCTCAGCCAGACTGAGCATGAAGAGCTCGGCCAGACCGAGTCGCTGAAAGCCTTAGCCAGACTAAGCACAAAAAGCCTCAGCCAGACTGAGAATGAAGAGCTCGGCGAGACCAAGTCACTAAAAGCCTCAGCCAGACTGAGCACAAAAAGCCTCAGCCAGACTGAGCATGAAGAGCTCGGCCAGACCGAATCACTTAAAGCCTCAACCAGACTGGGCAAGAAGACCTCGGCCAGACCGAGTCATTAAAAGCCTCAGCCAGACTGAGCACAAAAAGCCTCAGCCAGACTAAGCATGAAGAGCTCGGCCAGACCGAGTCACTAAAAGCCTCAGCCAGACCAAGCATAAAAAGCCTCAGCCAGATTGAGCATGAAGAGCTCGGCCAGACCGAGTCACTAAAAGCCTCAGCCAGATCGAGCACAAAAAGTCTCAGCCAGATTGAGCATGAGAAGCTCGGCCAGACCGGGTCACTTAAAACCTCAGCCAGACTGAGCACAAAAAGCCTCAGCCAGACTGAACATGGAAAGCACGTCCAAACCGAGTTACTTCAAGCCTAAGCCAAACTGAGGCACCATTGCAACTTCACGATCATAAGCATAGTGGCCATACGCGCTTTGCCAAACTGAGTTACTTCAAGCCCCAGCTTCATGATCGTAAGCATAATGGCCATACTTAGTCAAATTCCAGTCTAACGTTTTCCAAATCAGACTGTCTCCTTGCCGGGTTGGGATTCACAAACTTCGCATCTTTAACACTCTTACAAGTTAAACTTCACTCTGCATTGAGTTTGTCTCAGATCCACTCTGCATTGAATTTTTCTTACAAGTTAAACTCCATTTTACATTGAGTTTTCCTTATAGTCACTCTGCATTGAGGTTACCTTATGTTTTAAACTTCACATTGCATTGAGTCTTCCTTACATTTTTCACTTCACAATGATTTATACACAAGCCTTATACAAGTCACCATTCTCATTCATTTCAGATGCACAAACAAAAGCAATAGCATGAAAACACGACTCAAAATTTTATTTATTCACAAACTTGCACATAAGTTTATTACAGCCATTCACAAAAAAAAAAAACGCTAAGTTCATATTTTCTTCACTCCACTCACTCCTCTAAGTACATATTTTCTCCACTCCACTCACTCCTCTTCTTCACTTGAGGCGAGATCTTCCTCTTCAATGCCCTCATCTAGGGGGGTCTGGGCCACGTCGTCTTCGTTAATTCTAACATTGCTGAAGTCTATGTCTGGGAACAACTCTTCTGCTTTACGCTTGAACATCTTACAGCCACTGTCCCAGAATTCAGCCATTTCGTGTTTGTAGAAGTCCGACTGCTGGAAGCTCTGGATCACTTCGTCTTCGCTCCTGCTCCCAGCGGTCGCCCCTGACGGACCAGCCCCCCAGCCCCTTCTCTCGCCAAGTTGCTGGCAATAGCAACATCGATGGCCATCTGAAAGTCAGCAGACGCCTTAAATTGCTCTACTGTTGCGACGTACAGATCGAGGTATGCTGCCCTTTCAGAGGCTGCCTTAGTTTTTTCTTCCTCCAACTCCTTCTCCAACCTCGCCTTCTCCTCCATTGCCCTAGCACGCTCATTTTCCAGCTCCTTTTGCAGCCCAGCAATCTTCAGGTCTGCTTCATCATTTTCTTTGATTTGCTGGGCGCGCAGTTCTTCACTGCTGGACATAGCCTCTTCAAACCACTCGGTGGTGACCGTGCAGGCATTTTGAGCGTCCCCCAGCTTCTTCTGCTTGCCAGCCAGCTAGAACTTGAGTGACACTACCTTGCGGCGTTCGTCCTCTAGCTCCAACTTAACCACGAGCAGCTCAACATGGGCTCGAGCGGCAACATTGCGCTGCACGATCGCCAACGCCTCCATCTTCTTCACCTTCTGAGCCTCTTCCAACCCCCTAGCGCAAACGCTTCGTGTGGTCCTCCTCCACCTCGCAGTTTCACTCCTCAAACTCTCAAGTTGGGCCTTCGTCTCCTCCAACTTGGCCTTCAAAGGCTTCACTTCACCTTTTGCAGCCGCCGCCTTTCTCGGCAGAGCCCCTGCTAAAGTGGTCGCCTCCATTTGGGCAGAGCACAGCCCCCTTAGCAGCTCAGCCTCATTGAACCTGGTGGCAGAGTGCACGGCTGCTTCGTCCACTACCCCCAAGAGAATATCTGCCGTTGTCCTGGCTGGGCCTTTTTCTCCCTCCAGTCGCCTAGCCACTGCGGGGGCGTGATAGATGGCATGCTTCAACCTGACCACCTCTCTTTGGGGCGCAGGCCCCCCTTAGGTTGCTGCTCCATCACTTCCTCAGGGTCGGCTGACCCACTCTCCACTTGCATCTTTGGCATGGCACTCATGTGTGTTTCTCCCTCCTGGTCTCCCTGACCTTTGTCCCCTTGCACCTCTGGGACAACCACTGTTTCTGGGGTCACCCTCACTTCTTTCTCCCCTACTTCCTTAGCCATAGGGGTGTCCTCCCCACCGACCCTCGCCTTCTTCGATCCAGGCGCATCTGCAGCCCCCTCAGGGACACTCCTCTTTTTCTTCTTCTTTTTCAGAGCCTCCCCCTTCTTGTTCGCCCTTTCCTTCACTGGATCAACTGGGGGCGGTCGTGGCTCAAAACTGCCCAAGTCCTTCTCCCCTAGCGGCTTAGGGCGCGGTCGGATACGTTCCCTCGCGATCAACTTCGGAGCAGGCCCCAGTTGGGTCTCCTTGTACTTGTCCGCTCGGGCGAACAACCTCCTCTCCTCCTCCTCCTCCTCCTCCCCTGCCTTCCTTTGCGCCTCTAACTCCTCCCTTGCTGGATCCTCCTCCAACAGTTGTGGCCCCAAGTCCAGGGCAAACAACTTCGAAGGCAGGACCAACTCGTCTCACCTCACTCCCTTTTCCTCCCTTCATTCCCTCACCCTCTTCACTCGGTCCTCCGCCGCCTTGTCCAATTTGGGCTCGACTGATTTGGTGGGCACCTTCCATGTCGCGCGAATTCCTTCCCCACCGTTCATTATTACAAAAAACCATCTCGGCCTCCATCCCTTCACCGACGATGGGAGACCCGCCACCAGCCCTCGCCCCGCCACCGCTTACAAGGTGACCCAGATCTCCTGCTGATCGGATGCCTTGTAACAAGAGAAGAACTCATCCACGGACATTGTCGTCCCCCCAGTCGCCTGCAACCAGGCACTCGCGCACGCTATTACTATTTTCCAGGCATTTGGCATCAGTTGCCCTGGCGCCGCCTCCAACCTGTTTAACACCTCCACCACCACTTAGGGGAGAGGTAGCCTCAAACCCCCTCGCAGCGCCTCCTCATACAAACTGAACTCGCCCGGTCGCACATCTGATGCCCTCTTCGTGGATTCGGGTAGTCTTAGCCCTATCTCCGACGGAATTTGATACTTCTTCCTTATTCCCTCAAGCTCCTCCACTGTCAGTACGGATCTGTTTGGCTTGGTGTACCAATGGTTCGGCTCCACCTGGCTAATTGGTCTTGTGGCCGAGATCATTGTCCTGGGGCGAGCTCGCACAACTTGACTCGCTCCTTGCCCCTCCCTACGCTCCATACGATATTGTTCTGCCAAACCTACTGCATCGTCGTCGCCTAGTGGATTAACCCTTGTGTTTGTTGATTCCTCTTGGGCCATCTCTCTCGTGTGTCTGCGATTCGCTTCGGATGTGGGCGTAAGAAAATCCACAAAGTGTCGCAGGGGTGTATCGTTAGCAATGAAAGAGTTTACACTGGAAATGTTGTGATGTTTTGCGAACAGATAGGTAAAGCGAATAATACCAAAGGCCTAAGGCTTGCCTGTATTCCAAGGGTCACAATTAATTCTTGCTAGTTTGAAAATTTTCAAAAAACTGCCCAAACTGTCTTTTCAACACCCTATCATGACCTATCATTTCACTTATTGCCCAACGCCTAACTTCCCCCACTACGCGATTCCGCCACGTATATGACCACGATACACTGCCCATTTCCCCTTCCCCTGTCTATATCACTTCCCTATCTATTCCACTTCACTTCAGCACATGCCACGCCGCCTCTCGAGCCCCGCGCCACACCACTCGGCCAGCCTCTGCGGTCGACCTTCTTCTTGGTTGGTCCCTCCACTCGACTGCCCCTCGCGGTCGACCCTTCTCTTGGTCGGTCCCTCCACTCTTCCACCCTTTGCGGTCGACCCTCCTTGTGGTTGGTCTCTCCACTCGGCCATCCTTCGCGATCGGCCCTCCTCTTGGTCAGTCCCTCCACTCGGCCACCCTTCGCGGTCGACCTTCCTCATGGTCGGCCACCCCTCTTGGTCGGCCTTGACCCTGCCGGTCCCTCACAACCCTCATTTTCTTCATTATTCCCTTCGTTGGACTAGAGCTGCACTTGGGAATGGGGGACTACTGACATGGGTAAGCCCATAAAGATTATAGCCCACCGTTTAGGGCCCAATACATATCTCAAATACTAAAGCCCAGCACTGCTAAAGCCCCACATAGCAATAAGAACCAATGACATCAAGACACGTGGCGAGAGAAGGGCAAGCCACATCAGCAGACAAAGATCTGGAAAGTTATTGCCACAGCACATCGCCATTAATGAGGCCCCTTACAGCATTTATTGCGATAACCCCTCTCCGTCGGGACAGCACGCCCTCACCCTGAACAAGGTAAGCTACATCATAGACTTTCGGCCAAGGTGACAGGTCGGAAGGGACAACGAAATGATTACCAGAGGATATAAGCAGACGTTGAAGACAGAAAGAAGGTTAAGCTTTTCTATCTCTAGTCTATCTCTATAATCCACTTCTCTTCCTAACTTGCTCGTCGGAGGGTTCGCTGGAGGGGACTCCCCATTCCCCATTGGACTTTTGTGCAGGTTCCCCCGCAGGCTTGGTCATTCGGACATAGGTTGAAGGAGCACGGATCAGTCTGACCCGTTCTATCATCACGAACTGTATCATCATACATAAATAAATAGAATTTTAATAAAAATTTTATATATTTTAGTACATTTTTAGGCACCTATAAATTTTAGGAGAAATTACTATTCATATTTGTTAATTAGATTATCCAGTTTAGCTCGATGCTAGCAATATAATTCGTTCATTTGGTAGGTCTCCATGTGTATATTATTTATAAAAAAAAATTAAATCGATCCAATAATTATAATCATATTTTTTTCACACTTTTTTTTTATAAATAAAACCTACTATTTTTATTTTCAAAATAATTCTCACTATCCATTTTTTAAAAGAAAAATATAAACAAAATATGAGTATAATTATCAGATCAATCTAATTTTTCATAAACAGTTACAAATAAGAATCTTAAAAATACACAAATTAAATCATTATAATGGAGCCCATAGTGAGCCCACGAGTCGATTTACTCAACTCTAAATTTTATTAACCACTCAAAAGTTGAGATTAACATTTTTCCCATTAGCAAACCAGGATATGAAAGATTAGACCGAACCTGTCTTAAGATTATAAATCGATTTAATTTTTTTTTATAAATAATTTACATATAAGAGTCTAAAAATAAATAAATTAGATTATCCAAATCAGACGTGTAATAAGCACCCATATCAAATTAGATAGTAAACTGAAGAAGTGCTAGCTCTAAATTTAGTCTCCACTCAAAAGTTGAGATTGACAATTTTCCCATTCATTAATTCCCCCGAATCCTAATTGGAGAATACACATCACACACGTCACTCCACTTCATCAAGACCAATCATCTTCAAATCTTATATATTACAAATTGACTCTAAAAGTTTGAAAATTTAAAAAAAATATATAAATATTAAAAAAAATTATAATTGTGTAGACTCTGATAAGTAATAATTATATGCGTTTAATTACAATACTAAGAGTTGAAATAAAAGATAGTTTAGATTATATTTCTGAATTAGAAAGTGAATTAAGTGGATTAAATTTCCTTTTGGCTATTGCTTCGGACAATCTATAATAAATTATAACTAAAGAATTGTTAGTGTTAAAAATAAAATATCCTTAGAAAAGACAAGTGTAGAGTACCAATGGAAACTTTTACAAGAGTTAATATTTAATTAGATCCACAAGTTCGCAATTGAAGTTGGTATTAGAGCCCAATTTCTTGCTCTTGCCAATAACATTTGCATGAGTATTAAATGTAGTGAAGAAATGAAATCTGAGAACTTAAATAATAGTACTTCCTTACAAATAATAATAGAACAAAAAAATACTTTAATTAGATTATTAAAAGAAATTAATGAAAGACTCAGAACTAATCAATTAGAACTAATAAACGAAATTAGACATTTTATACCAAATCTAGAAAAACAAAAAGAGTTAGATCTATACCCATACCATATAAAGGAAATAATCCAGAAGAACCATTTGAATTAATTTCACCGGAAAACCAAAAAGATAATGAAGTTAACTATAGCCTAAAATATTTAGAAGAAATGGCTAAAAAGGAAAATGATAATGAAATAAAATACAAAATAATATTAGAAATAGCTAAACAATTAAAATGATAGATCAAGAAAAAATAAAGAATGAAAGAATAGAATTAGAAGAAGATATATATAAACGATTAGGATAAATCAATTTCGGAGAAATGAAACACATTCCCCTTGAAGATTTAGAACAAATAATAGGAAATAGCGATGTGAAAAAAGAAAGGGAAATAATATTTTAAAAGATTTCGAAGAAACAAATAACGTTAATGATACTGAAATTACAATGGTAAAATAAAAAGGAAGCAGTTCATCCGCTCCACTTAATCCAAATCACCCAAATTTTAAAAATTTTACCAGATAACAACTGGAAAATGATACTAGAGATTATAATTATAGAAGAAGAACGAGACACTACTGTTATCTAAATACATGATCTTTTGCTAGGAGAGCATCCAATTATGTAGACTTTACCCCTAGAAATGAAGTATTTTTAAAAGAGATATCACTAAAATCAATAAGTAATGCAGGATATTTATTAGACATTGATTGTGCTACAAATACAAGTGAGGTAATAAAACAATGGAATAGAGGCATGCATCATGCCTTAAATATCCATCGCAGCAGCTGGAACGCGCAAAATTTTCTAAATTGTATTGAACATAGTGTTATGGGTATAGTAGCAAACTGGTATGACAACTGGAGAGAAAGTGATCAAGAAAAATTAATATCAGAAACTATCCTAGAATATATGTTAAACCTATTTGTAAAATATATTGAAGATAAATTCGTAGGAAATTAATGGGATGAGGATAAAAGAAAAAAAGAATGGATTAGAAAATTAAATAATATAGAAATATGTAATATGGAATATATAGAAAATTATATATGTGAATACTCTTATTATTACTATCATGTAGGTAGAAAATTCATTTAACTAAGTTTTTTCGTAAATTTCCATATCCTATACATGTTAATATAGAAGAAAAAAAAGAAAAAAAAAATTGGTTAAAAGAATTAGGAGACGTCACAAACGACACCTCACATAGAATTAGATATCTAAAAGAATGAGTAGGACAAAAATGCATGAAAATAAAATAAAGAAGAAAAATGAAAAAATAATATTTATATTGCTGACAAACATCTAATTCATGGGGATGTGAGCCTTCAAGAAGAAAAACATACAACAAAAAAAAATGTTTTATAAAAGAAAAGATTTTAATAAACAAAGAGGAGAAAAATATAAGAGAAAATATTATTTAAAAAAACCCTATAATTTTAACAAAAGAAGAAGATTTTTTAGAAAAAATAATTATTGTCCAGGAGGAAAAAAGACTTGTAATTGTTGGCATGTGGAGAAATATGTCATTTTGCTAACCAATAAATAGAAATAAGAAAAATAACAAAATAATATAAGCTTTAGGAAGCTTGGATTACGTAGAGTTAGAAGAAGAAGTATTAAAATTGGCTCTAGAAAATAACAAAGGAATAATAAAATTAATTGAAGAAGAAATAGAAATAGAAGTAGAAGATGAAAATTATAGCGATGCTGATGAAGAGCTAAATTTCATGACGACAGAAGAAATAAGTACAGAAAATTCAAGAGAAGAAAAATTTGTCATAGAAAATTCTCAAGAAAAATAAATAGAAAAAGATTCAATATTGTCAATAATATGAAAAGACGAAATATATCAAAAATCAATATTCAAATTAAAAAGTAAATATATATTTGAAAGAATGGAAAGAGACATTGAAATTAAAGATTGTGAATATGATGTATGAGAAATAAATTTAACAAATTATGAAAATATATTAAAAAACAATAAAGATAATAAGTATAAATACATGTATATAGGGAACGTATACAAATACAAATTATACCATTGTTTGATAAAGGACAAGATATATATTGTGTGGGTGATTTTTCGACCACACTGCCCGCTTAGTAACCAGCTGGAGAGCACCGGCAGAATAGATGGCTTCAGCAAACCTGTAACAGAAAGAAAAGGCTCCGGCGGTGGCTCTTCCACCCGGGGGCACTCCGACGATCAAGTCAGTATATCTCTCAAAGATAATCAAGTGCCAAACTCACGAGCTTGAGTATAAAACTGCGTACCTTAGACCCACGGGGGTGCCTCTCTTTTATAGTTTACTCAATCCAAGTCCTACTAGAAGCCTGACTTCTATGGACTCCAATTCAATACTGAACTTTTT